TTCAATTCAATTCAATTCAATTCAATTGATTATAAGGTATAGTTTAAAATGCTTTGTTTACCATCCTTTGCACCTGCTAAGACACCACCTTGTTTTCCCTTTCTTTTCTTTTCTCCCTCCCTTCCTTCTCTCTCTCTTCCTTCCTCCTCTCCATCCTCTTCTTCCTTCCCTTACCTCTCCCCTACTCCTACCCTCTTTCTTCTCCTTCCTACCCTCTCTCCTTCTTTCTCTCTCTTCCTTCCTCCTCTCCTTCTTTCTCTCCCTTCCACCCACCTCTCCTTACCTCTTTCTTTTTCCCCTACCTCTCTTCCACACTTCTTCTTCCTCTCCTACTATCTCTCCTTCTCTTTCCACTCCTTTCCATTCCTTCGTCCCTCCATTCTCTACTTCCTTCCTCCCCTCCTTTCCTTCCTTCTTCCCTTCCTTTCTTTTTCTATTGTTATAGGTGTCTCCTTTCTAATCACCCTATTCTAAGTGTCATTTACCTTTGGATGCAAACAGAATATCCTGAATCATATTTCTCTCTTTTAAATTCTAACAAACATTTACATTTAACATTTATGCTATATTGAAACGTCCCATTATTTGCTTGTTCAATTGACAGCCCTTCACTATTTAATTATTCAATATTTCAATGTTATTTTTATATCAATCACCCTATTCTGCTGGTCAACTATGGGTTATATATTATATTAATTATATATTAATACAAAATATTTAATAACCAGGAATTAGCAGGTTGCGGAAACGTTTTTCTCCACCCACTTTTAAATTTGCACAGTCATAGAACGAGTGCATCACTGCGCGGGGCTATCCAAAGACAGCCCCACTGAGATCTAGCAGCATGAAAAGGCTGAGTTTTGCAGCCGGCGGCGATCGGGGCGCCCCTTCCTTCCTCTGCAACCTGCCGGGGCTCCCCCACCCCACAATATCGGCTTGCAAGGCGTTCCCCGACTCACCGATCTCGCCCAGGAAAGAGCCCCCGGCGCTCACCGGCTCCATGACGCGGACTACAAGTCCCAGCGGTCTCCGAGCCTCGCCGGGCCAGACAGGAATCCCGGGAGAGCCCAGGCAGTGCGAAGAGAGCCTGCTCGCGGAGGCTTCTGGGAGTTGTGGTTCCCCGGCCTCTCGCTTCCTGGTTCTGATGCTGATGCTTACAGATGTTTTTTTTACCGTCCTTTCTTGTCGCCCCGGGTTTTGCAGCTCGGCGCTTGCCTTTATGGCATCACCATTGGCTGCAAGGTTGTCAATCAATCAATCAATCAAAAAATAAATGAGTTCCACAAATAAACAAACACACAGCCTTTATGAATGAATCAATACATTTTGCAAATCAATACATTTTACGGATCAGTCTCCAATACATTTCACAAATAAAGCAATAACTTTTATGAGTGAATCAATACATTTTGCAAATAAATCAATTTTGCGAACCAACAAATATTTCAAATAAATTTCACAAATAAACTTAACTTTTATGAGTGAATCAATGTGTTTTGCAAATAAATAAATCAATTTTACAAATCAATAAATATTGCAAATAAAATTCACAAATAAACAACTTTTATGAAGGAATGCGTTTTGCAAAGAAATCAATTTTATGAATAAATATTGCAAATAAATTTCACAAATAAACACATTGCTTTTATGAATGAAACAATACATTTTGCAAATAAATCAATTTTACGAATCAGTCACCAATACATTTCACAAATAAAGTAATAACTTTTATGAGTGAATCAATACATTTTGCAAATAAATTAATACCTTTTACAAATCAATAAATATTGCAAAGAAATTTCAC